AATTGTTAATATTTGTTTGATACAAATGTCCTTTTTTATGTTATAACAATTTGGATAGAATCATAGAAATCAAGAAATGTTCATTATACTCCGTACAACGTATAGATAATCAAAAAATTAAATACATAAATTGTTGAACTATACGTGTGGCGCCCTCACGTCCATAAATTGTAAATTACGGAGTACTCCGTATTATTTAGAGTGAATACACTTGAATGACATCAATCTGAGAAAACATCTCAACAATCAAAATTCACTGGCAAATGTGGTTTGTCGAGAGTTGAAGAGAATTTACCAGCACTGAACTACTAACCAGCGAATGCATTCACTTTCCCCCACTCCATTGTTTTGTACGGATCGATGCAGTGAAATAAGTAGTGCTTCTCCAAAAAACTTTGTCATTTTCAAAAATTTGAACCTTAATTTTGATTAGTATAATATTATATAAGTTACTTCGTATAAATTTTATACTTTTATGAAAGTAATTTTAACAAAGAACATTGTCATATAACTTTTATATTATAAATCATTTTCAATAAAAAGATATAGCCGGTCAAAGTTTTGAAAATGACAAAGTTTTTTGGGACAAAGGTAGTAGTCTACCCATCTAATCGTCTCACTTGTGTACACGGATAATTTTTACTCCCTCCGTAACATTCATATCTTCCCACTTTCCTTTTTTGGACGTAACATTTATATCTTCTCATTTCTAAATCTTCCTATCATACCCTCAATAATTTAAAAAATAATACACTACTACACCTACTTTTTTGGATTTATCCTTCATTTCATCACATTATTTCACCATCTTCCCATCATACCCTCAATAATTCATACCCCATTTCACTATTCTTAATCTCACCCACTTTGGAAGTGGGAAGATATATGTGATACAGAGGGAGTACATTTTTCTATGAGATGTCTGATTACATTGGAGAATGTGCCAAATTGTATACATTTTGTATATGAATAGAATTTTTCATGATATTTATCGATCCTTTGTTTTTTCTCATATATAGGATAGATATATACTCGGTGTGTAAAATGTCTTACTTTCGAAAATAGAAAATCGTGTGTAAAATTTTTCAGTGTCCTAACTCCGCTCCTATCTATACTCGAATACAAGCTAAGGTGCCTATGTTTCCACGCATCCTACGAGTTCTTTAAGGTTTTATAACCTCATTCAATACTCGTATGTTTTATTGGGAGTCGGTGATAAGATTCATTATATTTTCAAATGTATTGTTGCTTTCTTTAAGTGATTGTTCTACTTTAAACATTGTGAACATGATATGTTTCCTTCCTAAAATATTCTCCATATATATCATCTTACAATGCATAATGCAAGAAGGTAATAAATAACGTGTAGAATTTTTGTCTCAAATAATACTCCGTTACCACTCTTCAAAATGTTAATTTTAAAGTAATTCCAAACACTAAAAATTCAAAAAAAGTAATTCCAAACACTAAAAATTCAAAAAAAAAAAAACCAAACACTAAAACTTTTAAATGTTAAACCCCCATATGGCAATATGTCTGTTTTACTTTCTGTTTTTAGATTTGTTTCAAAGTAAGTGTCGATTTTTTTTGGAAAGAAATATGTATTTTACATGATTTCATTTTATTACACTCAAAGCTCAATCATATGATTTAATTTTGGCTAAAGGGTCAAATAGGTACATGAACTAACCTAAAGTGTTCAATTAGCCCCTTATATAGGAGTTTTTGCCCGGGCGTCGCCAATTGGGGCGGTTCCCGGTGGAATTTTTTGATGAATTTTTTTGAGCATCTTCTTCATTAAGTCTAGTGTACCCAGACCAAATTTCAGCTAAAAATTCAACCGGGAAGGCAGTCGAATGATTTTCTGAAAAATTAAACAGCGCAGTACATTTCGGAAAATAATTCGACTCCCTTCCCGGTTGAATTTTTAGCTGAAATTTGGTATGGGTAAACTAGACTTAATGAAGAAGATGCTCAAAAAATTTCATCAAAAAATTCCACCGGGAACCGCCCCAATTGGCGACGTCCGGGCAGAAACTCCTTTATAAGGGGTTAATTGAACACTTTAAGTTAGTTCATGTACCTATTTGACCTTTTAGCCTTTAATTTTTACTTTTTCAACCATTTTAATAACAATTATGTCAAACCAAATTGAGGACTTTGTGTTTCTCGAAATAAATTTCTTTCACATTTTGTGCATAGACAGTAAAATGAAACAGTACACTGGTGCGTTTGAGCGCTTTGGGGCTCAGTTTTCTTTCAACGCATATTTAATGCCATAGTTATGGCGTTGGGTGCTTTTAATGCTACCTTGGTTTAAATTTGAATTGTAGTGGCCTGGCAACCGGCAAAGCCATTTACTACCTTGCTCATTTTCAATTTGATGTACCACACATTACGGGAGTCCCTTACAATTTTCGGAAAATTCGTGTACCTCCTGGGTACACTCTAATTATTTGTCATTCACACACATAAAATACGCACAAATACAGACATTTGGGCTAAAATTGTCGGTGTGAAGAAAATTAATTTTCAGATCTGTCGGACTGGTTGCATGAAAATCAATGTCAGTGTACAAAGACACTTGTTGTCGGTGTACACAGAAACTAGTTGTCAGTGTAGACAAAAAATGCCGGTGTGAACAAATTTGGTTTGCAAGTCTATTAGGGGGTTGGAAGGTCAGTGTCGGTGTACACAGACATTAGTTGTCTGTGTAGAAAAAGTGTTTGTACATGTACAATTTTTATCGGTGTGCACAGACACTTAAAGCAAACCAGTGTCGGTGTGCATAAAATGAAAATTGTACATGTACAAACACTTTTCCTACACAGACAACTAATGTCGGTTTACACTGACACCGGTTTTCCAACCCTCTGGCAGACTTGCAAACCAAATTTGTTGACACCGGCACTTTTTTGTCTACACCAACAACTAGTGTTTGTGCACACCGACATTGGTTTCCGTGCAACCAGCCTGGCAGATCTGAAAACTAATTTTCTTCACACCGACACTTTTACCGAAAGTGTCGGTATTTGTGCATTTTTTGTCTGTGTGAATGACAAATAATTAGGATGTACCCCGGGGTGTAACCCAGGGTGTACACCAAGAATTATTCACAATTTTCAATGATAAAATTTTCTGGGAGTTTTTTCAATTAATTAATCCGAGTCCGTCATCAAAGTTAGTTTAGACTATACTTGGCTATAAAAATGAAAGTTACATATTTTTACTAGGGAAAATAACTTTAAATAATACCAACAATCTTTCATGAACCAAGAATAATACCAACTTGAGAAATAATTTTTAATAATACCAACTATTTGATTATCTATCAAAAGTGATATATAGCAAATTTTCACCACAAATTCATTTATTCAATTCATCAAAAACTAATATCAAAATATCAAATAAGTGATCACATTTTCAAATATCAATTATTGATTTATTGATGGTTTGATCTTAGTTATTGATGTCTTAAATGATTGAATTTCTTGTAGAAAAGTGTCTCTATTTTATTTTTGGTTCACATTCAGATAGTTGGTATTATTAAAAGTTATTTCTAAAGTACGTATTATTATTGTTTCATTGAATATAGTTGATATTATTTAAAGTTATTTTCTCGTTTTACTATCATTATAAATGTATAACTATATATCATTACATAGCCCTAAAAAGATACTACGTATTATATCAATGAAGGTTACATATGTATGATTAAAAATTACCTTCCGCCCTTCCAGTATTTCTCTTTTAATCTTTCAGGCACTTTTGAAAATTGAAGTTAGTTTAAACGATCTTTTTCAGACGTTTTTAATGACGTGACCCTCTTGTGATAACGGAATTGAATCACATGAACCACTTTGATAAAAAAATGAAACATGTGACCCTATCTGAAAACGGGTTCATTCACAAATACATTTTCCGTACTTTTCCCATTAATATATTTCGTACATTTAATTTATAGAACCCGTTTGGTGTCATGATTTTCGACTTCTCAGGCGTACACCCCAACTTTTTCATCAAACATGTAAATTTTGATTTCGCATGTTGGATTATGCATATAATAATAACAAAAAGTATGATTGAAGTTACTTTTCTGTCTGTATTGGCTGAAGTTACAGAAGATCAGATCATTTTAGCTATTTTCATATAATTTTTTCTTGATTTATTAATAAAAAATGTTCTACATATTATTTTTCATAAATCAATAGTTATTTTACGTCTAAATATTTAGCATGCAAGTGATTAAATGGGTAATTTGAGTTTACACCCTTTTGACATATTCTATTGTCTAAATTGGATTTTGCACACCATTTTTAAACATATTTGTTTTTGCACCTGATGTGAGTTTTCTCGCACTTAAAATAGATAGTAATATAGGGCGTAAGTACGAGTATTGTCTCCACAAGAACGGAAAAAGGGAATCAGGGATTAACTAAATTCAGTGATTAAAATTTAAAAAAAATGCGATGTGTGAGATTTGGATTTTTAGAAAATTAACTAATACGAAAAAGTGATTAAATTAAATGGGTTCTTTCTAATTAATGACGAAAGGGAACAAAGATTGATTCCGAGGTAATCTGATTTCTGGCTGATCAGGCTCAAACAAATGAAAATTATTTAATTGAGCAACGCTAGTCAATACTACTAAGTTCGTACCGCTCTTGTGGCGTAGAGTACAATAATTTAGGAAACCAGGTTGATCTCTCATGCGACAGGATCCTAAATTGTTGTCAGGACGAGCTAGCGTACGGCCACTAAACCGTTACTAATCTCTTAGCGAACGATTATGTGTGTGTGAGTGTGTGTGAGTGTTAGGGGTGGGACTTGGAACCGTAAAACCGGAAAACCTATCCGAACCGAACCGAAATTTGTAGTTTGGTTCGGTTCCTATAGTTTTGGACATCAACTTTTTTCGGTTCGGTTCCTATTAGGGGAGAGCACGGGTCGGGTTCGGGCGGGTCGGGTCTGCGGACATCAAACCCGTTCGGGTTTTGTAATGTAATTATAGAACCCAACCCATGTAGTTTGGATATCGGTTTTTTCGGATATTAGAAAGTCGGGTATTTTCGGGTTTCGGTTCGGATATCGGTTACATCGGTTATGCTTAAAACACTTTGAAATTGCATCATAACTTTTCAAGTACAAAATTAGAAATACAAAATAAAAGTTGGTTCATCTTGAATTAGACGGTACTTAGACAGTACTTAGCAAAAATTAGAAATACAAAACAAAGGTAATTACAAACCAAGCTCCCATGCATATAAAATAACTAAGTAATTAGACAGTACTTAGCAAAAAAAAAAAAGATAAAGTTTTCTCCAAAGTTTACAGAACATAGCAAAAGTACAAAACTGGAAAAAAAGGTACAAAGGTATGATTTTCCAGTTTTCAGTAGACCATAAGATGTCATCTTCCATTCTTTTAGACTTCCACAACTCCACAAGTACTCAACTAACTCAAGTCCCACACATTTGATTTTACATTTTAATCCTGCACATTTATAAATCACAAATAAAATTTCATCAATGAATAAATGCACAATCACAACTCTCAAAGTTACTAAATATTGGTTCAGATTGCTTCTTATCAATTCAAAATAGATTGGGGGCATCCAAAGTGGGCAGTGGTAGGTTTCAAGCCATCTCATTATGTAAAGATACATTGGAGGCCAAATCCAAATTACCACCAACCACATTTAATACCAACCCAATCTTATTTCAGTATATGGTGGAAGCTTTCATCATAACCAAAATGGGAAGAACCAGATTTACCAGAATATATCACAACAGACAAATTTAAATGAAGAAGCAGTTCAATTGTACTGGAAAAGAAAGGGGCAAATGAGCTTCACCAGAAACTGAATAGGGGTTGTGGTCGGTGGAAGACATCCAACACCAAGACTTCCAACACATTTTGTTAATTCCAACACTGAATAGGGCTTTTAAAAGTAAAACTTGTAATAAATAAGCAAACCATTAAGGTCAGTGGTGAAGGATCCACAGAAGATCCAGAAGCATTTTCAGTAGCAGCACATGTCCCATTAATTAAATCTGGGAAACATATAAACATCTGTTAGACTGTGATTCTGTGAAGGCATACTGAAAATAAATATACATTAATAAGAACATGTAAAAAATAAAATAACTTGTTTCTTGCCTCTCAAATTCATCTATATTTTCTTCAATTGACAAAGGTTGGTTTTGTTTTCTCAACCAATCTTGACAACATATCAAAGCTTCCACTATTTTAGGAGTCAATGAACTTCTAAAGCAATCTAAAACCCGACCACTGGTACTGAATGTGGATTCAGAAGCAACTGTGGAGATGGGAACAACAAGAATATATCTAGCCATTTTTGAGAGTATAGGGAATCTTTGACTGTTTAATTTCCACCATCTTAATATATCAAAGTCTTTATCTTCCTCAAGAATAGCCTCACTCAAATAAATTTCCAACTCAGTTTTTTTCAAGCCCAACTGCCCACTCTCTAGTTTCTGTTTTTTAAGTTGTGCTTTGAATTTAGAGACTGGTCTTGCTGACTCAGACTCTGAGATAAGTAAAGAAGGTGGAGTTGAGCTTGATTCAGAGCTTCCACCAACACAATCTGTGTAATTACTCACATAATCTGAAAACAACTCAGTCAGAGCAACTTTGATACTTGCAAAAAACTTCTCACCCTTTTTTTCAGTATACAGAGCATTCAACTGAAAGGGCAGGTACTCAAATTTGTCCCTAGGGTCTAGAACATTTGCAAAGAAAATGAGAAAGTTCATCTTTTCAGGATCTCCCCAATACTTATCCAGTTTGGATTTCATAGTAGTTCCCATGGTACTTGTAGAAGGTCTATCTGACTTCATCAAGTCCTGAAGGACCAAAAACAGATCAGACACTTCTGAAAAGAAAGTATTTGATGTAACATAGAGAGAGCCTGAAATCCTGAGTGTCATTTCATAGAAATTTTGAAGAACTATGACCATAGACTCACAAGAAATCCAATCCATAGTTTCACATATGAACACATGAATTCAGAACAACCCTCAGGCTCCATCATTCATCATCATTCACATATGCACAAATCAATTAATCATACATTAGGCAAACAGTTTTAAGAATTCAGAACAACCCTCAGTTCATCATCATTCACATATGCCTCAGCATACAGCTTTATGAATTCAGAACAACCCTCAGGCTCCATCATTCATCATCATTCACATATGCACAAATCAATTAATCATATATTAGGCAAACAGTTTTAAGAATTCAGAACAACCCTCAGTTCATCATCATTCACATATGCCTAATCATACATTAGGCATACAGCTTTATGAATTCAAAACAACCCTCAGGCTCCATCATTCATCATCATTCACATATGCATAATCAATTAATCATACAGTAGGCAAACAGTTTTAAGAATTCAGAACAAGCCTCAGTTCATCATCATTCACATATGCTGATATGCACAATCAAACATTAGGCATACAGCTTTGAGAATTCAAGAACAACCCTCAGGCTCAATCATTCATCATCATTCGCATATGCATACTCATACATTAGGCAAACAGTTTTAAGAATTAAGAACAAACCTCAGTCCATCATCATTCACATATGCTGATATAATGATATGCATAATCAAACATTAGGCATACATGTTTAAGAATTTAAGACAACCCTCAGTCAGTCAGTCCATCATCATTCACATATGACATATGCATAATCATACACGAATTACATTAGGCATACAACTTAAGAATTCAGAAAAAAACCCAGGCTCCGTCAGTCCACCATCATTCAAACATTAGGGTATTAAGCATGAATTACATTATCATCATTACGGTTTAAGAATTCTCAATACTCAGACTCTCAGAGTTCACATTTCAAATATTTCAGCAGAACCAAGAGACAACAACATATTAATATATTATTAAGCATGAACACATCAACATCATCATACATTCATTATCATTCGTCAAATATATAAGGGTATTAAGCATGAATTACATTATCAACATCATCATACTGTCAATTTATCAACACATAACAAATTCACAACTGAACCGTAGATATAATTTATTCAAATACCTTACGGAGTTAGGTTAAGAACTTCCACCAAATAGGGCTTCGAATGATCGTTGACCGATTTCCACCGATTAGGCGATTAAGGTTTCAATGCATGTGTGTGTCTGTCTTTCTGTGTCAAAGACTTAGAGCTTCCACCAAAATACCAAATACGAATATAGGAATATAGGATTCAGAGAGCCTGAGACTCTAAGAGTCTGAGAGTCTGAGACTGAGAGAGCCGAGAGGAGAGTAACTGTCCGAACAATTGAAGATAGAAGATGAGAAGAGACTAGAGAGAGGACTGAGGATAGAGCGTATGACAGATCGAACTATCGAAGAAAGAGGCGGATAGGGTTTGGGATGGGAAGCCGGAGTTATAAGTGTATATATATATATATAAACTCCAAAACGACGTCGTTTTGGCACTTCGGATAATCGGGCGGTTCGGGTCCGGGTTTTATAAACCCTACCCGCAGCCCGTTAACCGCCCCAAGCCTGGCCCAATTTTCGGATTCGGGTTTCCGGGTCGGATATCCGTATCCATTCGGATAATATCCGAAAAAAAATTCGGGTTTGTCGGGTTGGTTCGGTTCTTGCTCAGCCCTAGTTCCTATAGTACTTCATCGGTTCGGTTCCAGTTCGGTTCCGATTCCTAGCCAGGAATCGAACTTCTTATACATTGCATGAGTAATCTTCATTTGAGGTGCTTCTCGGTGGACTTTTTTGATGAAATTTTGTGAGCTTGTTTTTCATGAAATAAAGATTATGTCCACCAAATTTGAGCTTAAAATGCAACCGGAAAATTAGTTAAATAAATTATTGAAAAACACTACGCCAACATATATAAAAAACAAAATGTTTTTCAATATTTTATTTAACTCACTTCCCAATTCAATGTTAAGCTGAAATTTAGTATATATAATCTATATTTCATGTACAACATGCTCACAAAATTTTATCAAAATTTTTACCTGGAAGCACCTCAAATGGAGGTGGCCAGAAGGCGTTCCGGGCAAAACATTCTTGTCAAAAATATTTGTCTTGCATAATACCTTATATATTGTGGACCAGGCCAATATGAGTAATTATTTTAATACTTTAGCCCACTTTTATTGTTATTGTTTGTTTGTAATTGTATTTGTTATTGGAGTTCATCTCAAAAAGGAATTAATATTATGTTGATTACGTTGTTTATTACTACGCACTTTTCACTTATTGTGCATTATCAGTAGAAGAATATTATTTTGTGGTTGAACTACCTGGTATTGGATGTGTACTTTGGAGATGTTGAACCTTTTTGCTTGACAGTTGATGCATACTTTAAACCGATATTTTTGTTATGTTGAAATTTAATGTTGCACTTGGATATATATATATATTTTTGATATTTGAACATTGAGATATCATGCATGTATAATGTAATGGTCATAATTTCATGATTTGAAATTTGAATTTTTTTAATTTAACTGAAGGTAAAATGTGTTCATTTTAGGAGGATGATAAAATTTTATAAGGAACCGAAAAAATGTAAGAACCGAACCGAATTTAACAACTATTTTTTTAACTAGAACCGAACCGAATTTAAAGTCTACAATTTTTATACGGTTCCATCGAATTTTAACAAGAACCGAACCGGTCCCAGGCCTAGTGAGTGTGTGTGAGGTGTTCGTGGTCTGCTACCGCGGGCAACTCCTTTCGAGTGGCGGTTTCCGGCGATTTTGACTCCTATCGATTCCACAACTCTTCTAAGTTAAATACCACCACTTTATAACAATATTCCACACTTTTACATGTGTAGAAACTCATGTTTAATCCATCATATGATTTCTTAAAAATCATACGAAATTAATACTAGTTAAAGAACTATTTGTGTTCTTACCTTTCTTCTAGCTAGTTTTCTCTTAGGATTTCCTTTCTCTTTGCTCCTTCCAAGCTGGTTGTTGGTGAGAGATATTCCCAGAACTCTTTCCTTGGCCTTTGGTTTGTGCGTATGGCTCAAATGAGGGGGGAGGTATCTATCCTCAATCAAACACCAGGTTGAGGTGTTGATAGGACCTTAGGGGGTAGTGTTTGTCTCATGCAATCCCCTCACTCAATAAGTCCGCCCCTCCCATGTTTGGATGTTTCATTTACATTATTTGGATTCTTCAAGGCTTGTAGGAAAAATCCCAAATGGGTATAAGATGTCCCTCTCAATTATTCTTGCTATTTCTGGTAGGTTGGGCCAAAATAACACTCGGTTGTCCAAATATTTTTATCAACTTTAGTTGGCACTTTATTGGGCTTCTATAATTATCAAGATAATCCGACTAAATATTTGGTAGCCCATTCTCATTATTAGGGACCCGATAAATAATTTAATTAATCACGCATTAATTATATATACCAATTCCGTTACACGATTTTATTCGCTAGGAAATTCAAATATATGTCGATTTCAAATTCAAGTACATCCGGATGCGGTGTCACATGCATCATGACCAACTCCTTCATCAATCTCAAATCCATAAATAAAATTACTCGCAACTCATAATTGAATTAACAATAGAATTGAGAAAGAAAGAATTAATTGTCATTAATTAAAAAGTTGGAACTTACATTGAATTCCACAATCTTGAAGAAAACAAGGCTGAAAAAGCTCTCAAAAGTCGAAATGGGGTTTATCTCTCTAAGTTATGGTACAAAAAACAGGCAAACCAAAGCTCTATTTATAGAAAAATCCGAAAATCAGCCAAAACCGTACCGCACGGTCGCCCGCACGGCATGCGGGACACCATGTGGTCACGCGAAAAATTCTGACGCCTTCGTAAGTTGCGCCGTGCGGGCACCTGAACGGTCCGACCATACGGGCATACCTAGGCCGCATTTCTGGACCGCGGGGCGGGTGGTTCAGACTTTTTGACTTACAGGTCTCAGAATCACCCACGAGGCGGTTCTTACCCGCGGGGTGCGCGGATGTTAAGCAAATACTATCTCTCGAACGCATCCCGAATCTTCTCAACTCAAGCTCAAACGCCAATGTCGGGTCTGAATTCCTACTTTTCTCAACAAATGCCAAACAAACCCGGTAAACCGTGACTTGAGCTAAATAAACGCTTTGTGACTCAAATAAATAGAAAAGGTTCAAATAAGGCCCTCTACTATTATGAAATAGTCACATAAGGCCATGTACTCAATAAAGTGTCATATAAGTACCTCTACTTGTAAAAAACAATCAAATGAGTCACAATGACCTATTTACAACCTCCTAATCCCGGTTTTAGCTTACATGTAGATTTTTTTGACTTGTATTTCAACCGATCTTAGTTAAATATTCGACATATGCCATATAATATATTCTAAAAAGATGGTCAGAAGTACGCTAAAACCGGGATTAAGAGGTGTTAAATAGGTCATTAGGACTCATTTGATTGCTTTTTAAAAGTAGAGGTACTTATATGACACTTTATTGAGTACATGGCCTTATGTGACTATTTCATAATAGTAGAAGGCCTTATTTGACCCTTTTCTCCTCAAATAAATAAGGAAAAGTGACAAAACTCAATCCCAACACGCATCTAATGCGTTCCGAAATATGGACTTATCACCACCCCCCAACCCCGTAAGAAAAGACAAAAATGCCCCTCGATCAGGAATAGGTTGAAGGGAAACAGAGTTGTTAATGGAATGACGTTTTTGTCTTTTCATACAAGGTTAGGGTGCAAAAACAAAAAATTTTGAAAAAAAATGGTGCAAAGTCCAATTTTGATAATGAAATGAAGTGAAAACTCAAATTACCCCTTTAAATTATAAAATCAAACATTTTACTCAAGTTAATCGTAATGGCTAATCAAAATAGCTAACATAATCCACTAAAATCAATCAGTTGATACTACGTATAATCGAACATTCGAACACCACTATACATTTCAGGGGACTTAGGATGTTTTCTTTTGGACTGAAATTTGCTGGTGTGGTCTGGTCTGATCTGGTCTAAACTGGTCTGGTAAATGTCTGGTCTCTACGTATTTTATAACTACGAAAGTCAAGTCTGGTTTGGTCTGGTATGATCTGGGACTGAAAATAGTCCAAAAAAACGGTCTTGTTTGGCAAATGGCTTATCAGCCATTTTTTGGCTTCTTTGACCACAATTAATTACTTTGACCTAAAATTAAACAGCTAAAATTAATGTTTGGTAAATAGATGGTTGGTTTAGCTTATTGATCGATCCCAAAAAGCCAAAATTTGAATTTTGAAATGCTGGGATAGGCAGCGTTTACCATCGGCGTTTCCGTTTTTCCCCTTCGTGCCCTCCCTATTTGACGCACAACACCACTTTCAATCTTTCAAATTCTCTTCGTTTTGCCTCTGCTACAAAAAATCTTCCTCCATCTGCAATTTCGTCCTCAAATATTCTTCGGGTATTAGAATTAGGGAGGTAAGCATTCGTATGATTGTGTTCGTTTCTAGTTTTTTCTATTTTATTTCCAAAGCTGCTCACTTTGTTTGCTCCCAACTTTTTCTTCCTTTATTTTGTTTCTATAGTGGCGTATGAATTCATGTGTATAATTTGATAGCAGTGATGATAAAAAAATCGATAGCAGTGTGAGGTGTTTGTTTCTTATTTTTAATAGTACAATTCTACTAGTCTAGTTTATTTGTAAAATTCCTTGATACAATTAGTAAAAATATTGTTGTGCTTGTCATTCAATAAAACCAGCATTCCTGCTTATGATGGTAAATAATTAGTTTTACAATTGAATAGGAATCAATTACATTTTCTATTAGGTTGTGCACTAAAAATGCCTTGAAGTTGCTTAAGTTGTTTTTTATAAGCAATAATTAAAAAATATTAATGTTCTTTTATGTCTTTTTACACTCTAACAACGTAACTAATTTTAAACAGTTAATTTACCAAACAATTCCTAACAATAAGCTAACATAACCAGTCAACCAAAACAGTTAACACAACCAGTTATTGTCAATCAGCTGTCGTAGCGGCTAACAGCTAACCGCGAATAGACAATTGACAAACAGGGCCAATTAACATCCTTAAATTTATACGCCAGATGTCCATTTCAGGGGACTCATCAGAAGCAATTTGTGCTAAATAAGCTGCAGGAAGCTCGCCAGCTTCCAAGCTATTAGCGCGCGAGTAAGAGCTTTAATTTCTCCATTAAATGTTTCTATCTGTCCATGCATAGTACGTACTACGTAATTACTTCTCATCGATCCAACCCTTATACTTCAATAATTCTGCCTATATAAATACATCTTCTTCTTCACGTTTAGGCATCAACTTTTTAAGCTTATTTCAAAAAGAAACTCAAGCTAGCTAAGAACAAATACAATGGCTTCTCCAAAGTTGTGCATCACTCTCTTTCTCCTCGCAACCGCCGTTTCCGCCGCATGCGCCGCTAGAAGCATGCCGGCCACAGGAAGTGAGAACGGCTTCAACGACCAGAAGAACTTCGTCTCCTACGGCGGAGTTGGTGGCATGAGTGGAATCGGAAGCAACGGCCTCCCCTTCGGCGGATTTGCCAGCGGCGCGGGTGCCAATGGTGATTTTGGATCCGGCCTTGGCGGCGGCGGCGGTCTTGGCGGAGGATTCGGCGGTGGCTCCGGGATTGGTGGAGGAAGCAGCTTGCCAACAATCGGCGGAGCTGGCGCTGGTATCGGTGGAGGAAGTAGCTTGCCAACTCTCGGCGCCGGCGCCGGTGACCTCCCACTTCCATGAAGGGCCCGTTAATTACGTATTTGTCTCATTAGTTAACTAGGGCGCGTCTTTTGATTATTACCATTTGTCACTATCTTAAGTCACTATTACGAGTCTTACGTTAGATTATCGGAGTATTAATTAAGTTTGTTGAGATGATGTCATCAATCTCTAGTGTTTTTTTTACGAGTCTAGTGTTTGTTCTATGCTATGTTGCGTTCCCAAGTCATAGGTTCAATGTACTTAGTCGTTGTTTGCCGTATAAATGTTCGTATTTCTTGCTACTATTTAGTATAATCTGCATATTTTTATCTTAAAATAGAATAATATACCGTGCTCCCCTACTAAAATAAAATAGTTAGTCCGTCCAAAAATGATTCACAAAGTCTATTTTTGTAACCACAGAGTTTGATTTTATTTACTCACAAGTATTTAAGATATCAAAAATTTTGTTATTATATTCTAATTTGAATTTTGCACTATATAGAATTTTCAATCTAACTTCTGAATATATATATATATATATATATATATATATATATATATATATATATATATATATATATATATATATATATATATATATATATATATATATAGGGATGGGTTCAAGTAAAAAGTAGTCTTCCCATGAAAAGTGAGAATAAATCTTGACCTTCCATCACTTGAAAATGGATGGATTAGATGAACTTTAAACACAAGAGATGTTTTCAAAAAATGTGCAAACGTTTATACTATAAAGTGGATAGTTACTGATTAAAAGTGTACTCATGCGAGTCAAAAAAGATTATCAAAATTTTCCATCTTGTGCACTTTTTATTTTGTACCGTATTGCACTTTTGTGCTCTACGTGTGCACTTTTTGACTATTCTGATGCACATTTGTCACAATATTTTCAAAAAGAAGTTCTCCATAATTACAAAAACGCCACCGCGTTTCCAACTTTAAAATTGATCTCTTCCACCCATTTTATCACATCAATGGCCAAGATTAGTTCTATATATATATATATATATATATATATATATATATATATATATATATTACTTAATTAGCAAAAATGATTTAATTATGATGGAAGATTCAACTTTATTGTCAATCAATTTTAAAAATCACATAAGGGAATTTTCACTATATTTTCTAATTAGGTTGTCTCAAAATGATAATTTTATTTCCTTTTTTGATAAGGTCGGTGAACGAGTGAATAATATACTACGTAAT